GTCTCCCACTCTGTCTCCCACTCTGTCTCCCACAGTGGAAGACAGAGTGGGAGACAGAGTGGGAGACACAGTGTGAGGCTGAAACCGGAGCTTTCGGATGTCCATCCGTCCAAAGATGGACAGGTCTGTCCGTCCGTCCAAAGATGGACAGGTATTTGTCTCCTGTTAGCGGCCTCTGCAGGCTGAGTACATTTATTCCAGACGTCTCTGCTGCTAACGGCTGTGATGAGGAGGATGAAGCTTTTCCAGCGACATGTCAGCCTCTCTGTCGTTTACCCAATAATTCCTTTATTTACTTAATGTCATCTAATTGCTGCTGTTTGATCTCAGGGAGGAAGGATGATGAAATAACGAACCACAGACTAGTGAGAGATAAGGATGGATGCAGAGTGATGTATTCCTGAGTCCGTCCACATGGAAGACGCCTCCTCTCTCTTAGAGCGAGTCACTACTTCCTTTAATAAACGCCTCTTTGAACAGCTGATTGCAGCATTTAGTGCCGCGGCTGTTAAAAGGACCTGAATCAGGAGCAGTTTGATGGTTTAACTGGAAACACAGGCAGCCTGCATGCAGGGAAAACACATCAGGCTTTCTGTTTTTTACTAAGCATTTATTTAACTAAAAAATTTTTTCTGTGAATTTGACATCATTGTTCTTATTTCAGCTTAGATCTAAAAATAAAAATCAGACGTATCAAAACCAATCGTATACACTGAAAAGTCGATAAATTGAACTAAATATTTTTTAGTGTACCTCATTAGATATATAAACCTGTACCACATGATTGGAATTATTCAATTAATCAATATTTGACTTATAAAACATCAATAGGGATTTATCATCCTGACCCAGTGCTGTCATGTTATTAACCTCATATATGAGCTCCAACAGTAGAAATGGCCACGCCCACCTAGCCTGGTGATGTCATCATCCACAGTTGTAGCGACATCTTTAAGGACGAAGACGCACCTTCCTCTTCACTGACAGCATCTTATGCTAATCGTTAGCATTGCTAACATTAGCCTAACAGCTGGCTAATGCTAATTCACAAGGATGTTTGTAATTAGGAAATGAGCTTTGTTTGACTAGCTCGCTTCATATTAGCCATTCTTTGCTAATCCTGAAGGTAAATCATTTAAAGTAAACTTATAAATGTTATTTATTATGTGAGCAAATTAACCTCAGCATGAGCCTCTGATTGGCTTACTGGTCGTCATGACTACAGCTAACCAATATAATCCGTACAGGCAGTGAGTAATAGCTAATTATTAGATGGTGCAGATTATGGTGGATTTAGAGGTGTGTTGATTGAAGAATAAGGATGTATACGCTGCATACCCTGGACTGCACCACTGCTCTGCAGTGAGCAGGACGTTGATGGCCGCCGTCGGCCAATCGGGGCCCGTTGTGGTGAGACGGAGCAGGTTCTGGGCAGGAGAACCGCTGAAGGAAACGTTCTTAAACTGATGAGCAGAGCTTTTCTCTATAGCAGAGCAGCACGGTTCTGCATTTTGATCATCGTCCTCCTCTAATCGTCTTCCTCTAATCGTCTTCCTCTCATCGTCCTCCTCTCATCGTCCTCCTCTCATCGCCCTCCTCTCATCGCCCTCCTCTCATCGCCCTCCTCTCATCGCCCTCCTCTCATCGCCCTCCTCTCATCGCCCTCCTCTCGTCGTCCTCCTCTCGTCGTCCTCCTCTCGTCGTCCTCCTCTCGTCGTCCTCCTCTCGTCGTCCTCCTCTCGTCGTCCTCCTCTCATCGTCCTCCTCTCCCCTAACGCTTCATCTGATCAGCATGTTGTGTTGCGCTCTCTTACACCAGCTGTTTCAACATCAGCTCTCTGCAGAGCGTGCTGCAGCATGTCAGCTATTTCACACTCTTCATACCAGCAGCCTGTCTCTACTGGCCAGCAAACAGAGTCCGCTTCTCCTGATGTCCTGGAGGAGGAAAAGCGTTTTCTGTCTGCTCCTGCCTGAGCTCCTTCAGGCTGTTAGGAGAAACGCCATCTCTGCTCCGTCCATCCCTGCTCCGTCCATCTCTGCTCCGTCCATCTCTGCTCCGTCCATCCCTGCTCCGTCCATCTCTGCTCCGTCCATCTCTGCTCCGTCCATCT